TTGGGGTCCTAATCCCCTCATTGATGCATTTGGCTTCTGGGGAATAAAAGAAGGCGATGTGGGATCTATAGTTTAGGCAGAACAAAAACGGAAAGGCTGCAAATAGAGAACATGGCTAGCGACAAGACGCACCAATAGAGTAGGTGCCTTGATTGGGTCTACATTTTTCACAATTAAAGTTTGGCATTTTTTACTATCCTACCACTGGTTAAATTAAGCCTGCAGAATATTAAATTCAATTACCCATAAAATAATTATATCAGTATTGAAACAGACATAATTTTTGCAACATAAAGATGAAAGCCCCTACTACTATGCTATGTGAAAAAACCAGCGGCAATATAGTACTCAGCTCCCTAAGCATCAATATTTACTAAAATATTCAAAGAAGGACATTCAATCAATCAAATCAGTTTCCAATGGAGTTTCAGTAGTTCAATTTTCTAATATTATATTTTAATGAACTATTAAATTGTCATGTACTTCAGTCTGTACTGTAGCTCCTTTCTAATCAGTGCTGATTACCAAGATATTTGTATCTGGCAAACTCTGTCTTATTTTATAATCAGTCTTCCCATTTCCTTCAGTGATTCAGCTAACCAGTCTTTGTAGCACTGAATGTTATGACAAGAACAGTGAACTGCAGAGCTTGAAAAAACTGCATGGAGTGACATCCCTGGGCTTGGCAGAACCATGAATTCCTTTCACCTATCCTCCTGTTTCCAAACTGAGAATGACAACAATTTCCCCACTTCTGTATGATCCTTTGAGTGTGATGAATGGAAAGCACTTTATAAGAACTCGTGGCTGTTACTGTAAAACCCCAATATATTCATTCTAAAGAGATGAGCTATGTAAGGCAAGTTCTATTTTTGCTTTCATTCTTGTCATGTCTCTGCGTAGTGTCATAAACAGCTGTAGAGAGTGACTATAGGGTATGGCTCTGACTCTGCAGCCACATGCTGGTGGAAGGAAAGGGGTCTGGTCAAACTGGGTAGGACTTTGCCTCACTCCAAAGTCCAGATGCAGTGTGAAAAATGCTGGAATTTTGCAGCTGGTATCATCTCAGGGAAAATAGACCTTGTATTTCAAGCGAGGAACAGAAAAGAGAGCTATTCCTCAGAAAGGTGACTAGGTCTCAGAGTTCATTACCAATGGAAAAAGGTATTGCAAAGCCCAAGTTCAATCATCCTTAGCCTCTCTAGCATGAAATATTTTGAATTGAAACAGAGTCTGTGCAGTTCAGCCCATTTGCAGTTTTAGGATCTATAGTTAAATGAATCACAAGTTCTTTAACAGTAGCAGGAAGAACATAGTTTTGTATAGGCCTATGGAGAAACAGGTGGAATGGGTGCAAACAGCACAAGTTTCCAACTTATTCTCCTCCATGGGCTGCAACAGGCAGGCCTGTGTCTAAGTACAGAGACCTTGATCATATTTGGTGCTACATAGGTATGAAGGCAGAATGGGACCTTCCACAGCTCTCACCTATTTTAAACACTTCTGCCCAAGTGCAAGCAAATTCCCACTCTCACTCTGAAGCCTGACTGGGCAGCTTCTAATAAAAAGCTCTTCCTACATGGAAAAAAACACATACAACCTTTTAAAGGCCCATAGCATTATGTTCTCCATGTGCTTCCAGAGCTACTGAAACTCTCTTAAGAGCAGGAAGGCTAATCTGCAAGTCATATACTTGTAGAACTATTTAGAATTAAATGCAGTTTAAGCAAAACATTGCTTCTAGAGTGCATAAGTGAAGGTTCATCCCCATAGCATATGAGTGTACCTCATAAGACTACAGAAGGAATTAAGCTCTGTCGTCTCTTTACCACCTGTATAGCTCTAACCTTCATTTGTTGGTTGCTACAGCTTCGATTTGACAGCTCTAATGGATTTAGTAGTTATTTATTTACTCCATTAGCCACTTAGTAGCTGTTCAGCCTGACATTAAGAAACCCTGCATTTTTTGGGGGGGGTGTGAGGAAGAGAACACTCTTAGCATTTCCTATGTACAGAGTCTCATTATTTGAAACTTTTACCCCAGAAACTTAGTCATCTGTGGTGACTGGTCAGTTTCAAACAAACCCAACACTACAATGCTTTAAAAATAAGTCTCCTCCCTTGCTATCTGCATGTTGTACTAGGAATATGTTAAGACTCCTGTGAAACCCAAATGCATAAAATAATAGCTAATCCAAACAGCAATTGGCTATCCAGGCTGATTTCATAGCAGGTCGGCAGCTCCTAAAACCAGAGCGCAAATGCTCTGATTTGATCCCTGAGAACGTAGCAATAAACCCCTGTTCTCTGTCAATAGACCTGCCATTATCCACAATGTGATTGCTGGTATATTGGATGTGAAAAGAGAAATCAAAAAGGTTGTTAAGGGGAAAAAACTCTGTCCAAGGAAGGACTAAAGAATGGTTGTCCTAATGGAAATTCAAACTGTACAAAGTGGTGCACTCTCCTGTTTAGCAATATAACAGGAGTTACTTCTGACTCTCTCTGAAGCACTGCTCTCGCTTCAGAAAATGCAACATACGTCATAATGCAATCAGAGACCACTGTGCTCGCTCCTGCTGCAAGGCACGGAGGGAAGCAAAGAGCTCGGGAAGGATCCCACTCAGCCAGAAGGCTCAGGAGGGAGGGAGAGGAAGGACCGAGAAGATCTTTGTAGCCCTAGATCCTGCAAACTTTTCAGGCATAGAGCAGCTCATACTTCCACTAAAGCAAAGAAGAAGAGAGGGGAAATAACACAAGCCTAACAGTGAACATCAGTGTTTTGGATATGCCATTCTATTAGGGGAGGAAGCCAAGTAGCACTTCTCTATAACTGACTTGCTCACTGTATAAGCAAGAAATATCTGGATGTATGTTGGTGTTGCATGTAGCCTGCTGTGGGAGAAGTGTGCAAGTATAACAGAGCGGAAGGCCCTGAAGCAGAGGGCAGAAGAGGTTGCGCTGACAAAGGTTTAAGAAGCAACAGAGCAGCACGACTGCTCTAGCTTTCAGTACAAACATTTCTGGGTCTGTATGGCACACCACCACCCCTTCCCAAGGCTGTACAGGTGCTTTTACTACAGGCAGTTGTCAGCAATAGACTTTTCTTCACACAGGGAAGGAGAGGAAGCTGTCACAGAATGGCACATATCCTACACTGAAGCCTCGGCTGTATACTTGTTCTCGAGTGTGGGATATGCCTACACAATAAATTGAAGCACATGCTGAAATACCCCAACTCTGAAGACAAAGTGGTCTGAGCTTTACCATCCATTAGCAGCAGGATACGAACTGAAGCAACTCTGGATATGCAACCTGCCAGCTGGTGGGCTCCTATGAATTTATCATGGTATTTGTCATATGTAGGTACATATATATATAGGTATATATACACACACATATATATGCATACACAATTTATATACCCTTTGCTGTATAGGTAAATGGAAAGAGGCAAATATCATGGCTACTTCAACTTAAGAAAGTTTTCTTCTGGCTTTTAGTTGTAATAAATTCCATTCTTCTTCACTTAGATAGTAACCTTCTTATCAAGATTTTAATTCCTTTCAGGCCGAAATCAAGTTCTTGGCCAATTTTAAAATGGAAAATTTGAATGGGCCACATTTTGAAATGAGGAAAGGGCAGAAAATCATATTTTCAGAAGTTTCTGGTAATTTTGGCCAAGCTTGTTTCCCAGAATGCCATTTTACGCAGCAGTAGGATTCATGTGATCTAGGCGGTTTCTAAAGCACCCAGGACAGGCAGTCAGGAGAACATGGACAGTACACTATGATAGCAGCTTAAGTTTCATATGTCATCTCCCTTTTTCTTTCCCTCGCCGAGAGGACTGTTGTTGTGGGTGCTGGAGGGAAGAAATCCACCCACTCCAACCACAGGTAAGCTCAGAGATTGCATCTCAGACTTTCCACGGCCACAGTTAATGGTAGCCACATCCTCTCTCCTCCTGCTGTGGAGAAGTGTGAGGATTTTAGATTAACATAAAGGCAGGTATTGCAGATCCTGAAGCAGCTATAGCTTCAGCTCATTTCATAAAGCCCCCTCTGTTTTATCTAGTGAGACTCCAAGTTTGCCCTCTCACAGGAAATTTGTAACATCATGCTTTTCATTGCATACTTCCACTACGGACTTTATTTGCCTGGAGGTCATGCCTGGTCCCTCTGCAAGCCACTGAGCTGCAGTGGAAGAGAGATGACTTTCTTTTCCTAGACTGATACATGGGCTTGACTGAACACCACAGGGCATTTTTACTGTCATTTGATGGAGCCCATGCCCTGAACAAGTTCAGAACTTTTCCTTCCAGAGCAAGCCTCTTTATTATCCTTTCACTGTGCTTTGCATACAAGCAAAGTCCAACAATAAAAACGGCATAAAACAATCTCATGGAGATAGATAAGGCAAATCCAGGAAAATATTGCCCCTGTGATGCTCATGTCTGGCTAATACCCATCCCTTCATATTGTTGCACATGAAAAGTTTCCTTAAATCTAGGGCAGAACTTCAGGATAATGCTTTTCCTTCTTGTCCCTCACAGTCACGTTCCAGTCTCTCAGTTTCTCTGTTTCTAACACAGAGCGCACTGCTCCTTGCCAATCCCAGAAGACCAATCCTAGGTTTAATCAATTAACCTCTGTGAGGTGATGTGAGATTGCTAGACTGACAGCCCTGTGCAAGTGCGAAGCCAATTCATGACTCATTCCCGGACTTTCTCCAGGATACGATGAGGGCTGGCTACAGTTATAGGTGAGCCCGCCCTCCCCTCTACCTACAAGAAAATGAGATGTACTTCATACAAAAGACACCGCCAAAGCCACTGGTTATTGCATGTCTTTCTTCAAAGGGGAACTTGCAATTGATGGGAAAATGCAAGGACACCAGATCAGCAGCACCCTCCCTCTGCATCCCCCTCATCCCTGTCTCAAAGGAACCCTAATGTCAAAGACAGACTCTAAGAGCCTTGCCAAAAAGCGGTCGAAGCTCACCTTGGAAATAGATGCCTGACTGGATTTGGAGGACCCTGGGAAGGGCTCTGGGGTCCAAAGAATGAATGAACTTCTCCAGGGTAGTTGCCATGGTCCGCAGCAAGGCAGCATGTGGATTTGGTATGGAAAGACCAGGAAAAACCTTTCAAGGCAGAGACGCTTGCAGCTTCATACATGCTGCATCTGGGACAGCTGTCAGGCTTCGTCCCCAAGGGGAGGGGTAGAAAGGAGAAGGGAGGGACTTCTGGTTTTTCAGTTTAGTGGCTGCTTCCTCAGCCTGAGAGTTGGAGGGTTAGAAGGGAGGAAAGACACTGAGCGAGTGAAACTACAAGAGCCGGCACCAGCTGCCAACATTAGGCGTACGCTACCTGTGCCTGCGTAGGTGCCACGTATGGCTCGAAGAAGTGCCGGGGGTTGCTATGGATACTCAACTTCAGAGAGGGCAGGAAGATTTGTTACAAAACTCCATCTCATTGATGATGGTTATTGATTCGCTGCCTGGAAATACTGACCTCATGACAAGAAGATATTCACTATCAATCCTGCCTAAAGCATGAAAAACCATCACATTTGGGGATTTAGCGGGGAGGTGGGGAGGGAGGGAGCAGAAAAAAGTTATCTTCAAAACCACAAACACCTTTTGAAGAGACAAAATGAAACCATTTTGTTCTGATGCTTTTTGCTACCTTAAAAATTGTTGCTGTATTTAAGATGTAAAAATAGAATACAAATGACTTTGTCGTGTAAAGGGGCATTAAAACAGAATGCAGTTATGCCAAATGGCCAAGATTTTCTAACATGACCAGTGACTTGAAGGGAGGGAGGTTCAAATTTGAGATGCTGCAACGAGGAAAGAATTTTAGGAGGCTACTGCCTAGTACCTTGTGAAAGTCAGACTACCAAACCCCTAGATTTGTTCCTGACTCCACTAAAGGACTCCTCAGAAGAGCAAGATCATGTAGCAAACAAGTGGCAGAATCAGGTCACCAGAAAAATTGAAGTGACTGTGATTTCACATTCCCTACTACTGCTCTCCCATATCCCAAAGGTGCCAGGGAAAGCGGGAAACACGATGACAAAATGGTGAACGTGAAAACTGATTGTTTATTTTCTAACAGCTCTTTGGTTGCATTGTATCTCTATGTAATGATTTACAGGAGAGAATATAAGCTTGCTCATATATTAAAAAATAAAATGCTTACAAGCAGGTACTCGGGTTTCTAAGGTGCAAGGCTAACTATGGAAGGGGAAGAGTTTGTTACTTGGTCTTAGCAAATATTGCTCCAGACAGTGTGAAAGAGGGTTTATGAGCAGGGGGACTGCAGGTGCAGAGCTCACTACTGCCAGTTGTTAACATTGCAGGTGCTGCAGGTAAGCTGAGTAATAGGGCTTTGTGTCTAGGAGCGACAGGTATTAGTAAAAGCCAAGCTGGAGAATATGTACAACCAACTACTCATTGACTATTTCAACACAGAAGACCCCTCCTTCCCCCTTCCCAACAACGCGCACCTACAATTAAGCAAAGATAATTTATCTGGGAAAAAGCAGAGGAAATTACACACATTCAGTAGTAATGTGGTAATCAGAAAACCCACAATGTAAAAAGCTTGTTATTATAGGGTGCAGAGCACTGAAGTGCATGACTGGTTTCAACACTTTTTAATGGTCCTGAATTCACTTGTATTTGGTGCTTCAATTCAATAAAACTGCCAGGAACAACACCACAAAAAACATTTTTCATGGACTGCAAACACATGTAAAAATTAGCAACTGGTTTCAAAATCACTTGGTCCCAGCAAAACAAATGTACAAACAGGTATGCCTTTTGTTCAAGAAAAATCAAAACAAAACCTTTTGAGGTTGCCAAGTCTGGTAATGCATTGGAGGTGAGGCTGCCACAGCTCCATGCACCCAGGTCCGTCATCCAGGAGTGAGGCTGAGCCTGTATTCCCAGTAGGCACACTCACAAAACACACATATACACATGACTGGCCACACAGACCAGCACAGGCAGCAACACTCAGCACTCATACAGACACAAACAGCACCAATGGCCTCATCCTATTCCCCTCTCTAGCTGACAAGGAGGAAGGTCCATTAGTGGGAAAAAAAATCTCTCTTCCTTTCTTTCTTTTTCTTTCTTTCTTTCTGTATGTGTACATATATACACATACATATATTCTTTTACATATATATATATATGTGTGCATGTCTGTATGTATGTATGCATGTGTGTGTGTGTGTGTATAAACATACAGTGTGGATCCATGCAGTAGCTGGCCTTAGACGCTCAGTTCATGCAGTAAGTAACTCGGCGTCCCTGGTCTCCCCAGCTGCTGACACTTGAGCATGTGACCCTGAGGCTGCAGCCCCCACCAGCTGCTGGAGCACACTCTGCCCTCAAGAACACGCACACACACATACACACACACACACACATACAGCCGCTCACCCAGGGAAACATCCAGACACGGCTGCAATAAGGAGCCAGGGCAGCCTGCAGGCATCAGGCGCGGGCAGGCTGATGCTCACCAGCCCCAGTGACACACCATCAGCCCCTTTTCTCCCCTGGTGCCTCTGCTTTCCCAGACTGGTTCCCCCAATGCACCTTGATCCCTTTTCCCCTTTGGTTCTCCCGCTAAACATCCCATAATAAGCCCGGCATCCCAAATTGCTCCCCCTGCACCCTGCATCAAGCCCCAGGGCCGGACGTCCCTGGGATGCTGCTGCTTTCAATAGGGCACTGGGGGCGCCCCCAGCTTGGGCTGGGCTCTGTGCGCCCCACGGGTGTGGAGAGGAGCCTTTTCAGGCTGAGCCCTCCCCTGTGATGGGCCTGGGTGTGACTTGGGTCCCCCCACCTGCTGCTGCTCCTGGGGGCTCCTCCGGGTAAGCAGTGACCAGCTTTTCACCACACAACCTAACAAAACCAACTTAGTTGCTATGAGAGAACTTCTATATATACGTTCTTCCAAAACTGTAATCCAAATCAGTAATGCCACCCACTGTTCATGTGTTATCAGAGGATCCCTCATCTCTGTTAGCACCTAAAGCGGTAAATGAGAAACACTGATCTGTTCTCCCCAATGTTCTGCAGGAGCTTTTACCAGCTCGTTGAACAATGCAAAGTGCAGAGAGAAAAATCATTTGCCATTTCCAAACCATCATTCATCCTGAAGTGGAAGATTGCCACATTATCATCATGAACTGCTGGTAAAAAGAAATCGCTTTTGAGTTATCTTATCAGAGATTAAATTCACATGAGGATCTTGACTTGGAAGAATTCCTTTCACCTAATACAGGTTTCAATTATTGAAGATAAAGACAAATTGGGTAAAATATGTGTAGACTGGACTGAGAGGAGGCAAAAATCTGAGCCTGTTCTTCCCATACTGAAAGAACAGAGGCCGCAAACCTCTCCTTACCACACCTCCTTTTCTGGCTTACTGCCTTCTGCATAATCAGAGTTTATAGGCACCTCCCTCTCCCCTGGGTCCTGCAGGTGTTGGGAAACAGCATTTCATTTGGCCACTCCACCCCCTCCAGCCAACACTAGGGTGAAGGTTGACCCCACCACTGAAACCTGCAAGTGCCAAGGTGGCCGGGAATCCCCATGCAGACACTGTGGCCACACAGGAACATGTGCACGGACAGGAACAGGGGCCACAGGGCAGCGCACCCTCCTCACCACACACACACCTCCATGAGTTGTGCCTGAGGAGATGGCCATGAACTAGCTGTAGAGGAATAAGCGTGAAAAGCTGTGGTTAGCTAACTCAGAAGAATGGACAAAACATAGAATTTGGAAAACTGCTCCCAAGAATATTTTTCTAGAACGCTGATGAACACTCATTTGTTTTACTTACCCGTTTTCATGATGCCAAAATAGTTTTCAAATAAAATCAATACCAAATTTGTGAAGGTTTGTAACTCTCTTGTTTTCATGCCCAGCCCATTCTCAATATAACCACAGCATTAGTTGTGCTGGTTGAAGGGAATCTTTAGAACAGTCCTGTAAATATGAAACCAGGCATCAAGGTTCTCCTGGGAATGTAAGTCGGCAGAGAGATATGCCCAATTTATTGAGCTGTGTTTCTCTTGTGATTATAACAAGGGAAATGTGTTTGATATTTGAGCTAGCAGAACAATAATTCCAAAGAGGTGGATGCTTCAGGGTAACTGGGAACAGCTAAGACTTGGGAGGCAGATATGGCTGAGGTTTCTATTGAATGGTTATGCTACCACTTGAATCAAATTGAAGGCATTGCAGGAAGTTCACTATGTGTGTGTATTTTTTTTCCCCAGTGTAAGGTGGAAACTCCACCTGTCATTAAAGATAAAGTCAGACTAACCTGTAGGGAATTCTCCTTGACACAAGTGCATTAAGCTGTGAAATAATCTCCCAAGGGAACAAGTGGACACTTGGGACATTTAGGTCGAGACTAAATATAGCACTCTAAAACACCATCAAGAGCAGTTCAGATAAAGAAAAGGAGATAGGTCATCCATTCCTATAGGTGGAGATCAGCTGTAGTGTCATCATCGTTTATGAATAGAGATGACTGGCTTGATAGCTAAGTAGGGCTCAACAGTATTACAATGAGGCCACCCTGGAGAGGAAGCTGAAATGAAGCAGAGATTTCAGTGTCTGGGATGTTCCTCTCTCAGTCAGCACTGGCCCTGGCAGGACTGCCCAGGTCTTATATAGCCCATCTGAGAATTAAGGACCCTCAGTTGACAGTAGTGTCTTTGCAATGGCCCATGTGATGTAAACTGATGGTCTCAGTAGATTGCTTGTTCATCACCTGCCTCCATCACACACAAAAAGTCCAACCCATACAATAGTACATGTGGCTCTGTTGGAAGTCCTAGAGAGATAAGGCACGAATTAGATAAAGGTCTAATCGCCAACGCAGAGCTACAACACGATAACCGATCTCTGTGCACAAGCTTTCCCCACTGCTTCTCTACGTAGAGATAGATGGGCTCACTTCCTCAGTAAAGCCATACTGTTACCTCCAAAACCCTGAAGTCATTCCTTCCAGAGAAGCCTAAGCTCAGAGAGCCTAACATTTATGTAATTTATCCTCTGGCATCTGCAGCAATTGCTTCTGATTTCCACCTTTGTGAAATATGCTCATCTCA